TGGGGAGTAGTAGAGTGCAAAGTGGCACATGAAATGGTAATACTGTACCCACTCAATGTGAAGGACTTGTTTTACCCAATTTCAGAAGCAAAAACAAGGCAGTGCTCTGACTAGAGTGTCAGCTTCTGTAAGAGCTCCATGTACAGTGTTAATGAAGCTCCATGTACATAGTGTTAATGAACTTTTGCATGAAGAACTGGACATCTTCCTGGGAATATCAGCATCAACTACAATCTCGCCTGGGTCAAATGCCAAGAATGACTGGATCAGGGCATAATTTTGGCTAATAGATCTTCCCTCCCACCTCCATCCCAGATAGGGTCCTGCCACTAACTGAACCAAGGGGAATTCCTTCTTGACAACAGACAGGTCAATTCAAATCCTTAATGGGGTGCAGAGCAGGACCTCAGTCTCTTAGCAATAACCATGTCAATATAAACCTCAGACCAGGTGTAGACCAGACTGCAAAACAGGGTGTCAGTTCTTTATGGCATAGATACATCAGTATAATCCCCCAACTTAGTTGCCTGTAGCAAGTCAGACTTTTGTCTGGCAGCATCCCTCAGACAAATCATCACTTGGCTCTAGGAGTTACGGGGTCCTGTTGGTTCCTCTAAGCCCACCAGGAAGCCATATACAGTGCCAAGTTCCTGAACACTGCCTTTTAGCCATATGAGGGAGGACACACCCCAGAACAGGTACCCTATCATCAAGAAGGTCCCAGCTAAGAGATTCTGATCATGCTAGATTATGATCGGGGGGGGGGGGTCTCCTGAAAGTGAGGGAGAAGAGGATGGAGTATTCTCCCCGCGTTAACTACTGTTCAGGCTGGGTTACTCTGACCATGTCCAGTGGTCTTCATGGGTTTTTTTGTAATCCAGATAAATCCCCAAAATATGTCATGTCCTGTGGGTCTGAGTTTGCTAGCCTAGCCTCAAACTTTCTTGGGCTTGTCTCTTTCTTCAGTGTAGAAAGACAAAGAGGAGTCAGAAGACAATGCAAAGAAAAAGTAGGTATTTGCGGAAGGAAGCATTACTGAGGAATAGGAGCCTCAGAGCTGGGTAACCACTGAATATGGGGCTGCGGTTCTGTTTTGTGGGGTAGAGGCCCACAGATCCCCCTCTCTCCAAGCATAGGTGGAATTGACTGGTGGTCAAGTTTGTTGCTAGCCATTTAGGTTCTGTAGGCTCACAGGAGAACTACTGTAGGCATGGTAACTTGCACAAGGAGGAACCAGCAGAGAGTACTGCCTGTGCAAAGGAAAAGGAAAATCAGACTGCCTACTTCAAGGGTAAAAAATCACAAAAGGGGCTGTTTTTCTCCTACTTTTTAAAAGATTTATGTCCCTATTCTTACCCTATCTAAGGACCCACCTTTCCCTTCAATGCAGTATCCAAAAAATTAAGAACTTGCTTTTTAAAAAAAAGTTTTATTGACCAAAGTAGCTGCATATTGAAGAAAGATGAAAAAAACAATACTTTAATGTCTTATCTTCCTATCCTATTTGGTGTGTGTGGGGGGACCCTTTCCTTATAGGTTCACTTTTGTTAATTAGAAATTTCATAACAATTGCTATAAAAGTATAGTTGCTTTTTCTGACTGCATCTCATTTTTTTTGCCTTTATGAGGAATGTTTTCAAAGCTCTGGAGAGATAGCAAAGATGAAAAAGAGGACTGGAGTCAGAAATATTTGGAAAACAAGCACAAAGAATAAAAGAGTCATGCATGGGAGCTTGCTTCATTAACAATGAAAATTAAAGCTCAGCCAACAGCATCATTTTAAAGGCAAAAACTTATTTAGGAAGGAACTGAAAACAGGAAGCCTTCAGTGTGAGAAGAAAAGCCAAAAAGGGCAACGGAGATCACAGGTCAATTAACAAAACAGACAAACATTTATAAATTGCTAGGTTCTGATAATTTTTCACTGGATGCTGGGGACCTAAGTACCCCAGCTGCCTGTATGAGGGGTACCACAAAGCATGAAACAAAAGTCAGAGATAATATTAAGAATACATATAGAGGGGCTGGGAGGTCAGTGCTTCAGGACTGGCAAAGAAAAAGACCTCTTCAGCTGGCCCACTTCTTTATTAATGGGTGAGAACTACAGGCAGGAAGTGTAGTGTACTTTTCCTGGAAGAGCCAGGAATGAAGAACAAGTTTAGCATCACAAAAGGAATGGGATACCTGGGTACCTGCTTCCTTTGAACTGTCCTCAGTGGACCTTATCTTGCCCTGTGAGTGTCAGTCACAGCCAGGGACCATGAAGCCTGAGCCTTAGCTGAGAGACAGCAGGAGTTTCCATATACCATCAGGCCCACAAAGCAAGAGTAGACTCAAATGGAGCTAGCCTCATTTTACAATTTGTGGTCCCCAACAACTGGATCTTGAATGTAGAATTTTTTAGAAACCACTTCTTGTCTTAAGGAGTTTCTTTCTTGTGTAAGAATGGAACAGTAGTCATGCTTGTCCTTAAAGACAGGCACCCCCCAGCTGTTACAGCACATCAACTCTTGCTAGAGAAGGGAGAAAAGATAAGGGTGCATTCCATAAATTGCGGGTGAAAGGATAGGGAAAAAGATACATTTGTAGGAAACACACTATGAATAAGTGAGAATCCCTTAATCTCTTATACCCATGAGAGTTCCAAGGAGGACAGTTATGACATAAATTTTAAAGAGTTGCCAGGACCAGCTCAGAGACATCCAAAAACAATCATTCTTCTATTAGGTAGAGGGGAGAGTTTGATTTGATCACCATGCAGGAATATCCTGATAAAGTGGATGGAGGCAAGAAACTATTACAGATGCTCTCAGGATATTTCTAAGACATGTATCAATCAAGCAGCTGGCAACAAAGAAGCAGCAGCTAAACTGGGTGATTTAATAAAGATAAACAATCACATCTTATTAGGCTTTTTCTTGACATTGCAGTCTTGCCTACAATAAGAATGAAACAAATGGGTCAGAGATTTAGCTCAGTGGCATAAGCGCCTGCCTGGCAAGCGCAAGGTCATGAGTTTGATCCCAGGTACCAAAAAAAAGAAACAAATGCAAGCCAGAGAATACCACTTACCCATTTGCTTTCATAAGGTGCTTTTTGTTGCCAATAGGTTGTTTTGTTTTTATAGTACTGGATCAAGAAGAGTTTTAAAGTCCCAAATATGAAGCTTACTATTTTTGGTCACTTTGAATCTAACACAGCCAACACTAATACCCTTTCAATTTAGAAAAGCCTATAATGTATTGTTTCAAAGCCATGTATTAAATGCTATGATGTGTAAAGTACTTAGTGGAAGTAAAATTCATTCTCCTATCTTAAGCAAAATTAAAATCCATTTGGACTATTAAAAACCATAAAATATGAAACAATTATAGTTCATTTAAGAGATGGCCTATATGATCCAGACCAAATAGTGTTTCATTCAGTGAAAAAGAATCAATCTCTGCTCTTTTTTTTCCTATTACAGAAGACTGAAAGAAAATCTAAATCCCACTAATTTATACTTCTTATTAAACATTTTACCATACTATAGTACAGAGAATCTTTTTCTTCTACTAGAACTATTTTGAAGATATACAGTATATTAGTTATTGTTATTCTCTCATTATTATGTTATAAAATTTTATTTGATTTAGCCTTGGTCCCAAGGATCACTGACATTAAAAACTTGAGCTGGGTGTAAAGGCAAAGACACAGTGGGGGGTAAAAAAAAATCCTAAAATAGTTTTTCCTAAAAGAAAAAAAAACAACTTGAATGCTGAATTTCAGTTGAGTTTAAACTGCTATCATGGTCAGCATGACCTCTTCCAGTCTTCAATGTATATAATAATCACTCAGGAATGTTATTAAAATAAAATTACATCTGAGCTGAGACTTGAAATTCTGTCTTTCTAACAAGCTCCAGGGTCAAGATACGCTGCTGGCTAGCAGACTATACTTTTTGAATAAGAAGATCTATGACACTGCAGAGAAGATTACCTCCTTCCTTTTTCATCGGTGTAAATAACAGTAACAAGAGAAGTTAACACTTTACAGTTTTTCTTGTGTAGCAGGAAATAATATTTCATATCTATCACTTCATGAATAGGGATTAGGTCCAACATGCCCAAGAAAACATAGTAAACGATAAACAAGCAAACTGAGTCAAGCAACCTCTTTTTTAAGCCAATATATAACACTGCCCTAGCTCCCTGAGCCATAATGAACATTAAATAATAATTTGGCATTTAGTTAACCTTTACTGAGTACCTATTTCGGACCTGTTCTGAGCTGCCCTTGGGACATAGTACAACAGCCCCATAAAGTAAGTACTCACAGTATTCCCATCTAGGAATCTGTTTAAAAGGTCTAAAGAAGACAGGTATGGTGGCCCTGGCCTGTCCAGTACTCTGGGAGAAGGATGAGAGCGTAGCGAAGGTCCAGGATTTAATCCCCAATACAATAAAAAAAATTTAAAAAAAATTAAGCCCTAAACAAGTGACCAAAGGTTAAATACTGGCACAACGGGGATTGGAATCAGACAGCAAAAGTGAAGAGCCCGGCGGGGTCTTTTATCACGCGAGAAGGCGATCCAGGAGCGAGCGGCTCAATCCGCCAGGGTACCGCAGACCCGACTGCACACCTCCCTTTCCGTGGATCTGAACCTCTCCGCTCACACGTGGGACTCCGAAGGCGGGCTACGACTGTAGTGAAATAATTTGTTTTCCCCCGGCAGGGTTTGCTACTGAAATACCTTTACACTTAGGCTTGACACTCTCTCGACCTGGAACCTACGCAAAACGCAGCCCAGAAACTCAAACCGCCCGCGCCGGATGCCGACCGCCTCCAGCCCGGTGCATCCCGGGAGTCGAAGTCCCAAACAGGTCTTGTAATACCGCTTGCATCCAGGCTCTAGCCTAGGGCTCCACCTCTAACGCCATCCGCTCTCCAACACCGCCCTCTGCCGGTCCTTCTTTAGGTCGTCCCAATTCTGAGCTAGTTCCGAGTGCCCCGGAAGTTAACCCTTCTCTTCCGGGCCGAGTGTCTGAGTGCACGTGGTTGCATTGCCGGTACCTAGTCCAGGGCTCTTGAGAAAGTAACTTGTACAGCTGCACTAAAGCGAGGGAGCTGAGCTGGAGCCATGGAGGGCCCCAGCGTGGAAGAGCTGCTGGCGAAGGCAGAGCAGGACGAAGTAGAGAAGCTGCAGCGCATCACGGTGCACAAGGAGTTAGAGCTGGAGTTTGATCTGGGCAACCTGCTGGCTTCAGACCGGAACCCCCCGACGGTGCTGCGGCAGGCCGGACCGGCGCCGGAGGCCGAGCTGCGAGCCCTGGCGCGCGACAACACGCAGCTGCTCATCAACCAGCTGTGGCAGCTGCCCACCGAGCGCGTGGAAGAGGCGGTGGTGGCGCGGTTGCCGGAGCCCACAACCCGCCTGCCGCGCGAGAAGCCGGTGCCCAAACCGCGGCCGCTTACACGCTGGCAGCAGTTCGCGCGTCTCAAGGGCATCCGTCCCAAGAAGAAGACCAATCTGGTGTGGGACGAGGTTAGCGGCCAGTGGCAGCGCCGCTGGGGCTACAAGCGCGCCCGCGACGACACTAAGGAGTGGCTGATCGAAGTGCCCGAGAGCGCCGACCCCCTCGAAGACCAGTTTGCCAAGCGGATTCAGGCCAAGAAGGAACGTGTGGCCAAGAATGAGCTAAACCGCCTGCGTAACCTGGCCCGAGCGCACAAGACTCAGCTGCCCAGCACAGCAGGCATGCACCCCACCGGACACCAGAGTAAGGAGGAGCTGGGCCGAGCCATGCAAGTGGCAAAGGTCTCCACCGCCTCGGTGGGACGCTTCCAGGAGCGCCTCCCCAAGGAGAAGGCGCCCCGGGGTTCGGGCAAGAAAAGGAAGTTCCAGCCCCTTTTCGGGGACTTCGCAGCCGAGAAAAAGAACCAGTTGGAGCTACTTCGCATCATGAACAGCAAGAAGCCTAAGCTGGACGTGACGAGGGCCACCAATAAGCAGATGAGAGAGGAGGACCAAGAGGAGGCCGCCAAGAGGAAGAAAATGGGCAAGAGAAAGGGGGGCCGACAGGGTACTGGGGGCAAGAGGAAAGGTGGCCCTCACAGCCAGGGAGGGAAGAGAAAAGGCGGTGTGGGAGGCAAGAGGCAATCCTGGCCCTCAGGTTTGGGTGGCAAGGGCAAAGGAGGAAAGAGGAGGAAGTAGTAACTTTCATGCTCGGACTTGTTCTGCTAAGGAAGAACAGTACTGTATATACAAAATGTTAAGTTGTGGAGGGTGGGAAATGAAGTGACTGTTGCCTTCGTTGAACTTGGCAGCTGCAGGGACACAATTGCTCTCTCTCCACAGGTGTGTTTCCCACTGTTGTACAAATTAACCGAGAACTTAGCTGAAGATAAAGGTGTGTTTGAGAGCATAAGAATTGGGCAAATAATTGGTTTGAAACCAGGAAAGAATTCTGTTCTTTAAGAGTCATGTTTTTATTTTAATTTTGGATATGGCGTTAAAACTTGGTCGTATTTCAGGAAGTTAATACGTGATTTACACATTCCTACATTATTTTTATAACAAACTTGTATGATTATGAGAAAGTAAAAGTTATTTTCTAATTGGATTTACAAAACTATTATAAAGATTATTTAATGAAAGTGTGTCTGTTTAGTACTTTTAACATTTTGACTATTGGTAGAATGGACGTGAAGTTAGTGACCTAGGTACCCGGCACAAATTATTTTCGTTTCTTAAAAACAGAAAATAGGTAAATTAACAGTGTTTTCAATGAGGTCATTTACTAGAAAAACTCAAACCTTTTGATGTTAAGTATAAAATTAAAAGTAGTACAACTGATGTATGTAAAAAACAACTTCCAGCACTGTACACACTGCTGTATGTGATAAATTTGGGCTACACTAAAAATAATGGTAACCTTTTTTTTAGGCAATACGTATTTCTCAGTATTTATAATCTATTTGTTTGGGAAGAGAAAGAGACTCAGAAAACCCTTAATCAAAATGTCACTGTCTTTCGATTAATTTGTTAAATTGTCCCACATCGATTTGATTAGGAGACAAAATGTTTATAGCTAACCTGGGTCATCTTTTGTAGGAGTCTTTACTTTGACTTTAGTAAACTCATCACCCTACAAGTAAGTATCTCCTGGAAGTGATTCACAGTAGATCCAGAATTGGGGGGTGGGGGGGCCTCACTGCAATAGAGTAAATCAGTTTGCTCTTTTTGCTCTGACAGTTGATAGGAAATTAAAATTAGGGAGTAGCCTTGTCATCCCCTTTTTAAAATGCTGTCCCATTTGTACAGTATAAGGTCTCTTAGAATTGCAGTGAAAAGCTAGATCATAATAACATTATTAATAATGTGAATGTTTAGTACTGCTAAGCAATCCCAGGGTATAGTAGTGTAATCATAGCAAGTTCTAACCATCCACAAAACTATCTAATGCCTCCTGGAGCAACTTCATGAAAAACTCTTCACAAAACACAGCTTTCAAATTCTGACATTTTGTGGTTGATTGTTTTTAGGCTTTGATTCCACAGTGGGATACAGTACAGGGACTCTAGATCTTTTTTTTTTTAAGATTCTGAATTATAGTTGAAAATTTAAATGCAGTGACCTTGACACTTTAAAAATAAGTTAAAGGTATCATTTTAATGAATTCAGAAAGGAAAAGTGCGTCGTTCCTCTGTTTTCCCCAGTCTCCATCCTGTAAAGAATAGAAGCTTTCATGTAGAGTCTTAAAAGGTGGCATAGGGTGCAGTTTCCTTCTGTGGCAGTTTTAGAGATGGATCCTCGGACCTGGCAGCTGGGCAGTGGTAGCCCTGGTTCTGGCTCCGCGTGGGAAGATGGTCTCAAGGTCCTGACCCACTGCTTCTTCATAAAGCTGGGTCTGGCAACCTTGCAGCCTTGCAGAGCAGTGGCATTGGCAACCCAGGGGCAGGTGGAGTGAAGCGGCCGGGATTGGCCAGCAGCGGGGGCGTGGCGGGTCTGGTTGCCAGGAGGACCTTTCGCAGCCATGGCCGCCGCAGCCCGGGCCCGGGTAGCACACTTGCTGAGGCAACTGCAGCGTGCAGCGTGAGTGCAGGCCGGCGGGGAAGGAGGGTCGGAGGGCACGTATGTAGTGCAGCATATGCTCGCATGCGACGGCGTCACAAAATGTGCATTGCATCTTGAGCTGTGTGGTTATGGCACGTTTTGCAGTGTTTTGCTACCACTAAGGAAACAGGCCCAGCCAAAAAGACCTGGTTCACACTGGCAGGCAGTGCAGACCTTGGGGCAGTGGCCAAGACAAACTGATATATCCACTCAACATATATTTACTGGGTGCTATGTGCCAAAAACCAAGTCTGTGTAAGTTTTGCGAATACAGTGCTGAAAGACTGGAACAGTTGGAAGTTTAATGAGTAGGGGGCAAACAAAAAACCTGACCTGTTAACCCCAGCAGAGGTTGAAGGGGGGAAAAAATCACAAGGAGTTATGCTTCTGACAGTTATGGGGAATCTGTCTTTTAAATGTTAGGACCTGACTTACTGCCCCTAAAAATGCCAGGTACATAAATAGTAGTCGTCTGACAAATATGTTACTTGTTGAATTCCAAGTACGTAAATGGGCTTTTTAAAAAATGGGAAAGATTGAGGTTAACAGTGGAGATAAATTGGGAGAAGAAAGAGGAACTAGAAAGGAATTTCAGGTAAAGGAAAAAGCAATCCCAAAAAGACAGTTACAGTTCTAGGATCCAAATGGAAAGCCTGGGCCCCACACAGTGGGAGATGAGAATAGGAAAGACAGTGGTGAGAGAATAAGAAAAGCTGACCTTTCCTGGACACCTGTCATTTGCCAGCTACTGTCCACACACTTTATATGTACCATTAAGAGCACTAATTCAACAATGAAAACACTAATCCTACAACAAGCCTATGACATACTGCATTATTGTCCTCTGTTCTAGATAAATAAAGGTATGGAAAAAATAATTTGTCTAGTGTCAGTGAATGACACAGCCATAATTTGAATCCAGATGTTTTGCTTTCACAGTCTCTGGCCTCTGCTAAGAAATTGTGTTTGCTACTAAAGTAGCACTTCTCACACTGAAACATTAGCAGCCCATAATAAAAGAATTTCATGGCCAAGTTAATTTGGGAAGCCACTTAACCCCGAATAGCCCTCTTAGAAAATCAGGTTATACATTAACACATAAAGGGATTCTAACAAGGCCTGAGAGAAATTGTTTGTGTTTAAATTCTTTGTTCTAAACTTGTGACTTCATACAATTGTCATACAACTCATACCCTTTGGTACCAGTATTCACAAAATGGTTTTGGAACAGTTGCATGGGGAGGGAGCATGGCATGAGTAGAATGATGTCACCACATTCTGGTGACTGGAGCAGAATGGCTATCGATGTGCAGTGAAAAGTTTTGGAGGTTTCAATGGGGAGGGAGGCACAGTAGTGCAGATCACAGGGAAAGTCAGTAAAGACTGCCAGGAAAGCTGACGGAAAACAAAAGTTATCCCAAAGAAGAGGGAAGGAAAAGTATGTCCAGGCAGAGGGGCTGGGGATTTAGCTCAGCTGCGTAAGCGCCTGCCTTGCAAGCGTGAGTTTTATCCCCGGTACTGATAAAAAGGAAAAAGGCAAAAAAAAAAAAAAAAGTATGTCCAGGCAGGACCATGATAGGGTCAAAGTTCTGAAGGGAGGAGAAAGAGAAAGATTGTGGCTCATTCAAGCAAATTTTTTTTTGCTTGAATGTTCCAGAAGCCAAACCTCAGAGATGCAGCACTATAAAGGGCTAAGCTGGAAACAGCAGCCAGCTCAGCCCTGTACTTTATCTGCCATAGAAGCAACTTCAAGCAAGCCAGTATCACCGTTGGACTGTCCTGACAAGGACCAGGAGAAGTGGGTAGATTCACGTGGACAAATTTCTGAAGTTTTGATGCATGGTAAAGCGCAACGGAGAAAGGAAGGACAGAATGGACAAAGGAGGGACAGAATAGTTGAAGGCAGCACAGGATAGAACCTGACACTTAAGGAGTGTGTAGGGAGTGGGGGGGACTGAGAGGAAACCCAGCCAAACAGGGAGACCTGGAGGCCAAGAAAAAGAGTTCGCCCACCAAGCATGGGGTAGCTCCTTGTGATCAATGCTGCCAGGGAGGAGCCGAGAAGGCTGAGAAGCCAGGAGCCAGCCTTAATGCTGTAGAGGCAGCAGCCTGGTTCCATGAGCCAGCAAGTGTTTTGCAAACAAGGAAGTTAGCATTTGTAGGCCAATAGGGGAGAAACAGGTGAGTGATCCTGAGAATTTCAAACATGAAAACTTTTAAGTATGATGAGAAGGACCAAGCAATGGAGAGTTCTAGAAATACAATATATTATGGATTAAAAACTGGTGGCCACTTAACACTAGCTGAATTAAATCAACATGGTGCTAAATGTTGATGTTCCACCTATGGAAAGTTGCCAGCATTAATAGAGACATGGAGGAGAAGCTAGACATTGTGGGTTCTCCTGTGTTGCTGTTTCGAGTTGTTGGCTCTTCTGGAGGAGCTCATCATGACTAGCTTCCCCAGTGTGAGGTCAACCATTGTCATAGGAGGAGCTCAGGATCTTGCTAGTGAAAGTAGCTATGGTTCACCAGGGGCTCTGGTCCTTACATTGAGCATCACTTCCTGTCTCTGGAGGGGAAGTCATGTGCCCTTTAATCTCCAGGAGAAACTCATCATGCTGGCTTTCTGGCATGTACTCAACTGTTGTTATCGTTGGAGGAGCTCGGGGCCTCCGTGTCACTGAGCTTGGTTGTGGTGCTTTTCAGGGCAGCCCTGGTTCTTATTCTGAGTGTGACTTCTTGCTCCAGTGTAGAACCCTCAACCTACCAGCACAGCTCCTTCACCCCACTGGCATAGATTTTCTAGCTTCCACTGCTGACCTTTGGGCCTTCCTAGCACAGATCCATAAACAGACTGGTGTGAGGCCTCACACTCTAGACCTCCAGCTGGACTCGTGGGAGGCATTGTCATGGGCTCTAGGTCTTCATCTGGACACATGCAGGACATTGCTGTGGGATTCAGGCCCTTCACTGAATATTCTATGTCTTTAGTGTTGTGGATAGGTTTCCTACACTTCCTTGTGTTAACTCTGAGTGACCATCATAAATAATATTATAAGTTATGTGTCCTGATTCTAACTGTTCTCCTCACAACCCCTGACTACAACACAATACAAATGGAATCCTTAGAAGGCAAGAGGGTAGGACAGGCATCTCAGATAAGGAAAGAGGTTGAGACAGAGTAGAGGGAGGAGGTAAAAAGAACTAAGCCATGTCATGTGCATGTGCCAACTACCCATGATGAATGTATTCATTATGTACTGCAAACATGGACTCATAAAAATCCAAAAAGTTTTTTTAAACTGTGAGCTGAGGTAGCCTCACAGCTTGAAATAAAGAGAAGCAGGTAGGAGGAGGAAGAATGTACGTCTTGGAGCTTCGCGTTGGAAAGCTTTATGCCTGAGTATTTTTCTAACCTGTGCTTGTTCTTGAAGGCTTCACTCAGTGCAAGTCCTGGAAGGTGAAGCCCACCCTGAGCGGAGAGATCGAACTGTCATCAGCCTTGGTCTACTTTCCTGTCCCCTGCGAGAGCCCCCTTTCGGTTGTAACCGCTAGGTGGCAGCCTTGACTTGTATCTCACTCCTGCTTCCAACCTACTTTGATTTCTCCAGTTCTCAGAAAGTTCTGAGATCTGGAGGGCCCCTAAAATCCATTCTTTCCCGCCTTCCACCTAGGATGTTTAATTCCAAATTTGAATTTTGGCAGAATGGGGCAGAGGTCACGCACTCACGTAACTGCTGAGACCTGAGTAGGATAATGTCCAACCGACCGTTAAAAAAAACCCTAAGCAGGAAGAAAGAGGAGCCAGAAGACAGACTGAGAAATAGGCTACGCCCAGGACAGGGAAAGTGTCCCAACTTGGCGTGGAAAACCTGTGGGGAGGACGGACTTCGGGGAGCGATGGGTGTGCCGGTGTCAGGCTCCTGGGGGTCTCCCTAGGACATAACAAGCGCAGAGCCTGGGGCTGCATCCCTGCCGCCCCGCAGGGGTGGGGACCCAAAGAGGTGAGCAGTGAGGCCTGTGGGTTCAGGGAAGGCTTCCCAGAAAGAACGAGACCAGAGCCTGTGTGAAGAAAAACTGCATACCTTAAAAATGCAGAGAGCGTAAAAGGAAAGTTGTTAGCCTGCTGGGTGAGCGAGAAGAGGCCTCAGGACACAATTAACTTAGGTGGGTTTGGTCATAGCTCCTAAACTTGTGAGAGCTGGGTCCCTATGGAAACCAAAGACACCGTCTTACCCTCCGTGTACCAGAGTTTGCATTTTGACTTCACTTTTTCCTTTTCCTAGATGCCAGTGCCCGACTCATTCTCACACTTACTCCCAAGGTAATATTATGTATTTTTACACATGCCACACTTCTGGTTTCCACTACTGATGTTTATAATATGTTTGGGCAAAGTGTAAAGCAAGAAAATGAAGGTGTGTGAAAGTTGATGTAAACAGCTACCTTTTCACTATGAAGCTGGTTGTATGTAGCTCCAGCTATTCAGGGTGAGTGCTGATTATATGCTGGTTATGAGTTTGGCTCGGGTATGTATTTGAGACGATTTCTATGCCTTTCTGTTTTAAATAGAATATTTGCACTGACAGGATTTTAGAAATGCCTCCGTTTATCAAACAGAACTAATCAAGATGAAGTCTTTGGATAGTTCTAAGACATCACTAAAAGTAAAAGGCTAAAGAATAAGGTAGTTCCTAGAAGGAAAAAATTGTTCATTATTCTCATAATGAAACAGTTGTTTGTATGCATTTTAAAGTAACATTTTATGTCTCAATAATTAAAAATAATGACAAAAGACTTCAGTTCTCACTACTGTCTTAATTCTTACCAAACACCATTGTTGCAGAACAGCAGGAAGCTTACTGTAGCTTTAGTAAGTCCTCAGAGTGTCACATGAATTACTAACACTGAAACTGATTTTACCTCATGGAAGAAAAGGCCAAATCTAAACAAGGGACTGACCATGCAGGATGCTAAGCAGAAGTCCACAAGACTAGGCTGGTGAGGAGTAGAACAGAGACCTTACTAACCCAGGCTTTGTCCTGCCTGAAGAGTGGCTCATCCCTCAGGACAAGCCCCCTAGTCACATCAGCAACATAGAGGCATAATTTTCTTTATACATGTACCCTACAAAATGTAAAGATCTCACTGTGATAAATCTCCTCTGTGGGGGAAAAAAATCTTAATTCAAATAAATTGCACAGGTGCTGTTAAAAGTATAAGCAGGACTTAGGGGCTGGGGATTTAGCTCAGCGGCATAAGCACCTGCCTTGCAAGCAGGCGGTCGTGAGTTCGATCCCTGGTACCGATAAAAATGAAAAAGACAAAAAAAAAAAAAAAAAAAAAAGTATAAGCAGGACTCAAGAATTTGCTGGTCGTTGTACCCAAACAATAATTCAACAGTCTACTCTGGAGGACTGTTTTAGCATTATATTTTCCAAAAAACAAGTTTTTTGGCTGTACAAGAAGTAGAACCCAGGCCCTTGCACATATCATATAAGTGCTCTACTACTGAAGTACACCCCAGCCCTGGTTTTTAATTTTAATGGAAAAAAATACTTTAAATATGTATTTTCACAAAGTCAGCATCAAGTTAGCATTACATTTTATTTTAAAATGCAATTATTGATTTTAATTTTATGTACAATCATGAAACTTGAAAAATATTTTTAGGTAAGCAAGATGCTTATGTTCACTGCTATGTATTTCTATTGAAAGAATAATACTGATGCTTTATTTCTGAGGCTTACTCTGATACTGTGTTCTACATTTCCAGCTCCTGGAATTTCACCTTCTGGGAAAACCACAGATTATGCCTTTGAGGTAGATTTTATTAATCCATTTTTGTCTTTTATGCATGGCCTGGAGGAAAAAAAATTATAGTATTTTGCTAATACATTAGAATTTCTTTTGAAATCTGTTATTATTTGATGTTCCATAACCTCTATATGATTGGATCATATATAGCAAAGTAACTTGTATGAGTAATGGAATATAAATAAGAGCATAAAAATGTTTAATGGCCTCTGGGCGTGGTGGTGCACTCCTGTAATCCCAGCACTTAAGAGTCTGAGGCAGGAGAATCATTGTGAGTTCGAAAACGGCCTGCGCTACAAAGTAAGCTCAAGGCCAGCCTGAACTGCATAGTAAAACTGTGTCTCAAAAAGACAAATAATAAGAAAAAAAAGAGAAATGTTTAATGGCTCTCTTCTATACAGCCACAAATTCCCAATTTTATGCATTCCCCAAGTTATATATTCTATGTTACTATGTTTTGTTTTGTTTTATTGTCTGTTTGTATTGGTTGGTTTTTGGTTTTGGTTTTTTTTTTTTTTTTTTTGAGACATGGTTGCCATGTGGTTCAGGCTAGTCTTGAATTCACTAGATAGCCCAGGCTGGCCTCAAACTTGCAGCAGTCCTTCTGCCCCAGCCTCCAGAGAGCTGAGATTACAGGTGTGTGCCACTATGCTAGCCCTCTATGTTAAAACTTTTGTAGTTATAAATACCAAAAGAGGTCAAAATAATCTGAAACAAGAGTAAAGGAATTATTAATTCTGGCACATTTTATCACATTGTAATAACATATTACTTGTAATTATTCATTTAAATTCCTGCCTCCTTTTAATCCAAGTGTCATAAATTGCAATGTCACCAAGGGCTTAAAGATCACAGGTTCCATATGAAAGGGACCTCTACATGCTTGTTGCTACATGGGAATTGCCAATTATTTAAGAGAGATACAAGTCCAACTGGTCCAATTGGACTTTTCTAACCATAATTTTAAAAGAGTTATTAGTCAATTTAAAAAAACAGAAAGGAGAAAAATTTAAACAGGTCAAACAAAACATGTCTTCACCTCAAAAATGACACATCATCCACTAGTATGGATTTTTTTTTTTTTTTTTGTCTTTTTTGTTTTTACCGGTACCAGGGATTGAACTCACGACTGCCTGCAAGGCAGACGCTTATGCTGCTGAGCTAAACCCCCAGTCCCTGAGAAATAGCTTTAATACCAGAGTCTAGCACAGTGCTTGGAGCATAGCCAATACTTGGCAGCTGTAGATGAGTGGGCAGATAGGTGAATGCATGTGGGTGGATACATGCATGCAAGGATGATTGGATGGATGGATGGATGGATGGATAGATGAAACATACATGGAGGAAATAATAACACTTAAATTTGAATGTAATTGAAAGTTAATTTAGGTGTGTAAGTGTGAGAAGACAAGCATTTGAAACTAAAGGAACATTGAGAATTTATGATGTTTGGAAACAATATATAAGTATTTCCAATGGGCTGGAGCAAAGTTTGTTTAAATTGTGAGGCCAGATTGTGAGTGACCTGGAGGACCATGCTGTGGAGTACTTTATTCTCAACAGTGAGGGACCATTTCAGACTTTTAGAAACGTGTAGCCAATTCTCCAATACTTCTTATAACTGTCTTTTTCTCTCGTTTTAGATGGCTGTTTCAAATATTAGGTATGGAGCAGGAGTTACAAAGGAAGTGGGCATGGCAAGTATTTGAGATGTCTAGTCTTCTATAAATATGGTGTGCCATTTAAAACAAATGCTAACAGGCAACAACCAAGTCTTTTATTTTAAAGACATATAATGTTAGGTTTGCCCAAAGGCTCTGTTACAATTCTGTTTTAGTCAAACCCAATTTATGGGTTTTATTTGTTTGTTTGTTCAGGATCTACAAAACATGGGGGCTAAAAATGTTTGCTTGATGACAGACAAGAACCTTTCCCAGCTCCCTCCGGTAAAAGCAGTAATGGATTCCCTTGTGAAGAATGGCATCAATTTTCAACTTTATGATAATGTGAGGGTAGAACCAACGGACACAAGGTACTTTTATATCATTTACTTTAAGCGGAAACCAGCACACATCACTTGTTGAAAACTTGCCCCAAGCCTTATCTAATGGCATGACAATTTTTTTATGAAACGTGATATAATGGTTTTTATTTTCTCTTCTCCAAGCTTCATGGATGCCATTGAGTTTGCCAAAAAGGGAACTTTTGATGCTTATGTTGCTGTGGGTGGTGGCTCCACCATGGACACCTGTAAAGCTGCTAATCTGTATGCATCCAGTCCTCAGTCTGAGTTCCTCGATTATGTTAATGCCCCCATTGGAAAAGGAAAGCCTGTGTCTGTACCTCTTAAGCCTTTGATCGCAGGTGAAGATTTCTTGTTTTGTTTCATTTTGTAACTGGCAAAAGTTAGGAAAGATACCAGCTATTAATTTTAGAGTCTATGTTTCTGAAACTTTCTGATTTGTTCATTTTGAATCAATGCTGTATTCAGAGACCAAAACAAGTAACAATTCATTCATTTTAAAATTTTGATCTTCATATGGCACAGAGAGACAATTTGGGTCAGTGGGAAGAGGTGTGCGGATTTAGGCTGTGGAGTCACTGTGTGGAGGAAGGGAAAGTCTCTAATGACATTTGATTAGATCTCTCGATTGGCAGGCCTGTCCTCCAAACCCATCTGTTTTATCCAATTTTGCCAGTCACTGTGCAGTTTAAAGAGAACACTTGCTGTTATTTTTCAATGACTCAACCCCTTCTCCCACATAATGGCTCTTCAGCTGACCTCAGGCTTTGTCTTGTCCCTGGGACATGTGGCCAGTATGGCTGCATCATTCTGGGTGACATCTGCTCCATGGCTGCTCAGGACACAGACACACAAATCAATATCAAAATAGTTTGTGTGTTCCATAGGAGACCTTAATGTTTTCCAGAGGTATTTTGCTGTTCCATTTTAATGACTGCTAGTATATTGCTATTATGTTTTTGTAGCTAAAATATATTAACTAATTGACTAACCCCAATAAACAGCCTCTGTTTGCTCTCTCCTGCTTCAGCTGTGAATGGTCTCTGTAATGGGACACAAGTTAGTTGGTGACAGATGAACTGCTTTGATATGAATGAGGAATCACCAGGGAGCAGCGTAATTGGGATCTGGCAAATGGAACCTTCTGGTGACACTATGTCAGTGTCACACAGAGGGGTGATTAGTAAAGTTTAGAAATTTGACAGAACTATAAAACCACAGAGCCCAGCAAAAGCAGAGCATTCCTATGCTTGCTGTCAAGAGAAAGTAAAGATGTCTTTTAAAGACAGCAAATATAAGTGTTCTTACCAAGGTGCAGCCTGCATTTGAATACCTAACTGCAGCTGTATGAACTCTGGAACTAAAAGAACCTGAAGTTCCCAGAGCTAATTGCTATTACTACAGACACAGATATTACACACATGTGATTAACACACATGATTGTTAATAGCCACTGACACCATGCATGTATGTTAAAGCAGATACAGAAGTCACATATTCAACACATATCCATTTCAATGCAAACACAGAACACATATGTATTAAGTATATATTATGCAGATACAGACAACATGCATATTAAACACTTGCATATTAAGGCAAATAACATCTTGCATACAAGATACAAGCCACATAAACATGGAAAATATACAAGCATGTTAATATAAACACAGACACTGTACTTATTAATTGCATACACATCAATGAAGCAGACTTGACACATGTCAAGCATGCATGTGCATTAATGAATACACCGACAAGCATGTTAAACATAGCACATGGTAGTATGAATTTATATCTCATACTTGCCTGCTAATGCTTGCCCAGGCATCATGCATACCAATTCAAGCATGGACATCATATAGGTTAGACTTCCATGCATGTTATATTATATTTAAGTATGAGGCAAGTAATAAGGTTATAAAACTTCCTTCTCTATTTATTATTTCTAAGGCTGAATTAAATATATTCACTGACCTTTATTTATATGCTTTATTAAAATTAATATTATTTTATTCAAGTCCCAACTACCTCAGGAACCGGGAGTGAAACTACTGGGGTTGCCATTTTTGACTATGAACACTTGAAAGTCAAAACTGGTAAGAACTTTGCCCTTAATTTTTTTGGGGGGTCTTCTGTTGAAACAAGGTGTCACTATGAAGTTCAGGCTGTCCTTGAACTCACTTTATAGCCCAGGCTGGCCTCAAATTCCCAGTAATCTTCCTGCCTCAGTCTCCCAGGTGTGCACTACCATGCCCAGCTGCTCTTAATTTTTTTAAAAATTCTCTCTCTTACATTTCAACCCCACTCCCTTTGCTTTAACCCTATTACTTAGAAATCAAGGAGCTGTAGAGTTGATGAACAGATGTATGTATGTACACATTTTCTTTTTCCAAGTTCATATAAAAAGTCTAATAAACTTCTTTCTAAGAATTATCTACAAAATCATATTGAAATGCCATGAATTTTAATTGACCATTAATCCGCTGATGTTAGTGACCATATATCAGCGATAAATGGGTGCTTCCTTTTTCTGACATTCTCTTTATATTTTAAATCAACTTTATTGTGATGTACTTCTTATACAATAAAATCTACACGTTGAACAGTCTGACTTGGTAAGTTCTGACAAACACATATGCCCATTTTACCGCTATCCAATGAGATTAAACATTTCCATCACTCCAGAAAGTTACATCATGCTCCCTGTTAGCCCACCCTATCAGCCCCATTCCCAGGTCACCTCTTTTTTTCTGTCTTAGTCTTTTTTTCCTTCTATTTGCTACCTGGAATTGAACTCAGGACCTTGTGCTTGCTGGGCAGGCACTTATGCCTCTGAACTACATACCCAGCCCTCATCTTAGTCTTTTTAACCTGTCTTCTGTATCTGCCACTGACTCTTGGCTAGTGTGGTAGGAATGAATGTCCCTTTCCTAGAGTCTGAATGTCTTGCTTCCAGGATTCAAACCCTTTGCAGAAGAATAAATTGATATCAATTGCAAACCCAAGCTAACTTCTTTTTAATTACTGTATTTTTGACATTTTAAAAGATAGTAATAATAGTAACCAACACTTAAATTTTGCCTTAAAATTTATTTAAAAGACTTACATAATATTATCTCACTTGATCCCTATAACAGCTCTGGGGGGGATGGAAGCCCCATGTTACTATTTTACAGGCAACTGAGAAAAACGAATTGACTAACCCCAAAACACAAAGAAAGCTGCAAAGCAAGAACCAGTGCTGTATTAGTAAACTAGTTCTCTGGAATTTATTAACAAAAAACCAAGTAGGCCCTGATTTATAGCATCTGCCAGTGTAAACGCTTATCTCCTGGCCAGGGGCGTCCCTCTCCCAGAAATTGGGAAGGTGTGTGTGCACTTATTCCTGACGTCTCGTGGAAGTGGCTCCAGTACGCTACTAGAAAGCCCAAGTCCTGACTCCATATTTGTTTCCACTGCTCCTTTCTGCCTTCCTACCTGACAATGAATCTTTCTTGTGGGTTTTTTTTAGGATAAATTATTATCCTAAAAATTTTTAATTTTTAAAAAATGGTCCCCATAACATTAGCACTTACTGAAAAATTCTCGTGTTTTAGGCATTGCTTCACGAGCCATCAAACCCACGCTGGGACTGGTTGACCCTCTGCACACCCTCCACATGCCTGGCCAGGTGGTTGCCAACAGTGGTTTCGATGTGCTTTGGTGAGTACCTGGAGTGATTTCCCAGGCCTCTGGGAAATATTTGATTGCCCTAGTGCCCACTACAGACACTGGTAAACCTTCACTAATAAACGCTACACGACCGGCTTCACACTGGCTGCGATTATCCTCATTCCTAGATGGAAACACTGCAGCTGTAAAGGTTGGTGGCTAGGTTCAGCCTGGTGTGAGCTGCAAATAAACCTTTTATTTGAAATGGGCCACTCTAGCCTAAGCCACGGCTACAGGGTCACTGATAAAGGAGCGATTTGAGGTGACATGTGATGTCTCAGGACCACACCACTTGTCTTTAGGCCACCCAAACTAGGAAAGTTCCAGGGCTATATTTCAAAAGAGGGCAGAGAAGGAATTTGGTATCTCCAAAACCTTGTTGCAGATGTGTGCACTGTGTCAGTACTTTACACATTATCTCTTCCTTGAAGCACTGTGCATTATGACAGTTTCATAGATATGAACGTAAAACTGGAGTTCAGATGTTTAGTGACTGCTCTCACTGTAAGCTTGGATAGTCGCAATCTGACTGCGGCTCCCAACAGTATTTTTACTGCAGACCTCAGTTCTGACCTCCAGTCCGTTGGTTCCGGTGGCCTTGAGGAAGACCCCGGGGTACTTCACACTCAGTGTCCCACACCACTGTAGTTCATCCGTTTGTGTGTGCACATTTTGTTATATTTTTACATCTCTGAAGTCAGGACATATCTTAAAACTTACAGATGATAGTATTTTTTTATCTTGAAAGATACAATTTTAAAATGGTGTATCTTATAATGCACGGCATTTTAAATTTGGTGGAATGTGGTGATTCTCTTGATAACCGCACTTCTGAGTTCACTTGCTCAGCAAGTGGCGGGACTCAGTATACTCTGTCTCTTGTCCTGCTGTTCTCCCCTCTCCTCCCCTCTCTCCCCTCTCCCCTTTTTTCCTCTTCCCTCTCCCTCTCTGTTTCTCTATCCCTCTCCCTTTACCTCTCTGTCTCTCCCTCCCTCCCTTCTTTTAGTGCATATTATACAAAACAGTTTGTTTCATGTCAGCACTGACTCTCTCTTGTATCTTTCCCATCTTCTCAGGCTTTATTGTTCCTATCTTGGTTTAAATCTGCCCCATCTCTTGCCTGGGCCATTACAGTAGTCAGTTCTATTGGCTTCCTGATCCCATCCGCTAGCCCTTTCTTCTGTCCTCTCTTATGGCTTCAACAAGCTTCCAGATTATAATATAGCCATCACACACACAGGAAAATGTACACTTAAATGCATGCACCTCTCTACCTTATATATCTTCCAGGGACTTTCCACACCTATTACCTAAAGGCCACACTCCACAGGCCTTGGCATATCCATCCCTAGGGCTCATCTCTTGATCCATTTTGAGGAAACATTTTCATTTCCATGGGGAGAGCCATCCTCTGATGAAGCCCTTGCTGACCCTCATCCTCCTCCCTTTCCGTCAAATACGGCTAGCCATTCATCCTTTGCTGTTCACTACGAGTGGCCTGCTCATTACTTCCGAGAATCTTTCTTGCTTGCATCTTCCCAGTGCATTGTGTGCTTGCTAAGGATAGGATTATTTTATCTTTTCTCTAGCCCAGTCCCTGGCACAGTGACTGTCACATCATAGTACATATTGAATTAATTGCTGTTCAATGACATTCATATAAGCAGGAACAGACAGACATAGGATCTACTTCTAAGTCTATTTATATCTCTGCTTTTCTCAAATGTGTTCTACTGTCTGCCAAGACATTTAAAAATTATGTCCAACTCCATTCTGGCTAATATTGTCAGAATTTAATGAACTGTCTCCTCACTATTTGGAAATAGGAGAAACCAGGTTATCCTTCTTAACTTTAAATTGCACAATAAATATATCATAGCTCAAAACAATCATCTTTAAAGAAATGATTCACAGGCCCCAAAACCTCACTTTCAATCAAAAGGGAAGTGGGCTAGAAGGAAAGATGATGGTGGTGTTATTTATCTTCCTGCCACTGTGACAAAACACCTAAAATGATCAACACAAAAGAGAGGTTTATTTTGGATAACAGTTTCAGAGGTTTCAACTCATGTTCACTTGGCCCTGTTGCACTGGCCCTGTGGTAACACAGTATGTCCTGGCAGGAACATGTGGCTGAAAGGACTATTCATCTCATGGTAGCCAAGAAGTAAAGAGAGACAGTCAGAGGCCAGGGTCTCAATATCCCTTTCAAAGGCGTATGCTCAGTCACGTAGCTTTCTTCCACTCAGCCCACCTGAAAAAGTTTATCCCACCTCCCCTGAGTTCTGTGGCCTGACAACCAAGCCTTCAACACAAGGGTTTTGGGGGGAATATTCAAGATCTAAATGATAGCATTATCCTTCCAATGGCAGTCCAGACAATAAAACTTGGCCCAAAGAATCTGTCCCTGGGACTCTAGGCTTTTTAAGAAGATGGACACAGCTGTGCCATCTACAGATAATCCACTTGTTAGGACTCTGTGGGCCTCTGATCATAAACCAGACATCACGGAGGGTACCTCCATGAGGAGAAGAAGGTGACAGAAGACTCTGATGTCTGTCCACCTCACCAGTTGCACTTCTCATTGTAAATCAATAATCTGACTTCCAGGATTTACACATAGATTCCATGAGCTCAGCTCAGTGGGTGAACCTGTCCCTGAGAAACAGGTCTGCTCTTAGATTCAGAAACCTGACACCATTTAGCCGTGCTGCAAAGCAGAGGTGAGACACTGAGCCCTGTGGATCACTGCCTCCCCACTCCCTTATGTGTACACCTCAGTCTTGCATTGCTCACGTACTCCCTAGTTAGAACACAAAGCCTTATCACCCATGTACCAACTGACTTTTTAAAAATTTCTAATACTTTGTTCAAAAGATAATTTTCTGCTTCTCACGTGTTCCTTTCCTCTAAGATTGAAAATTATAATATGCATAATGTACCTCACGTTACATTATGTCCCAGTGCATCACTAATCTATATGCTGCTGTGCAGTCTGATCTCCGGTAGTTGAAGAGACTCCTTGGCAAGCCAGTCAATGGTGGCAGCTCTTAAAATAGCTGACCCTGAATTTGGGGCATAAGAGAAAAAAAATCAGATTTTTTTCCAGTTAAGAATAAATAATAATTGTTAATATTAAGTTTTACAAGGTGCCGGCACTATTCTAAGTACTTTACATGTGTCAGCTCATTGAGTTTTCACAGATGCACCATAAAGTTATACTACTATTTATCCCTGTCTGTGAGCCACAAGGCTGCAGTAGAAAGATCTTGTGACAGGATTTAAGGTGGGCAGCTGACCCCAAAGTATGTGTTTTAACTCACTACACTATACTCTCAGGAGTCTGTGGAACCATGGCCCTCCTTAAGTAATACAGTATTTGATCAATGGTAGGTATATGATGGCAAATATCTTCTACGATGAAGTGAGTTTTTTGATTCACTGCTGTTTTTTCATAGTTCAAAGGTTTGATAATTCAACATTATAAAGATTTATTTACACTGGAAAAGGGCGAATGTGGGGGGGTTTAAACTAGGTTTTCAGTTGATGAATAAAACATGAAAATTATGCATTTTTAATTTAGGAATACCAAGTGATATTTTGTTACATTTTGTTATGCTTTAGATCCAGAAGGGTTCCCAAATTCTTACATGTTTGGAAGGTAATTGGATCATAAGAGGCTATATTCATCAGTTGATTCATCCACTGATGAGTTTAGTGGCTGACCGTGCTGTTAGGAGCTGGGACCTATTGGAGGTGATTTCTAAGGGCATGATCCGGCAGAGGGCATTCTTTTGTTCAGCTCCACCCTTCTCTTACTTGCTTTCTCTCAATCCGCTTCCTACCTGTCCTGGGTTGAGTACTTTTTCCTCTGCCATACTCCTCTGGCATCTTGTTTTTGACTTTGAACCAGTCAGCTATACACTGAAACCATGAGTCAAAATAAATCTCTCCACCCTTAAGTTGCATGTGTCAAACATTTTGTTTCAGCAGCAGGAAAATAGATAATACATATGTATACACTGTGTGATAAAGCTACACATCTGTCCTCTAAAATATGCCATTTCTTTATGGTAAAAACATTCATAATCCTTTTCTCTAAATTTTTGAAATATGCAGCACACAATCATGATCTATAGTCACCTTAATGTAAATAAAACTCACATACTAGTCAAAAACACTGTAGTGCTAATATAAACTAGATGGTATTAATTTCTATACTAAGCAATGACTGTCATCAACAAGAGGTTGACTGGTGCAATGTGTTGTAGTCATCAGTGCCAAATATCATGCTTAGAGTGAGGTGCCAGTCAGTGGTTGAATGAGGGAAAGGAGGAAGACAAGGTTTTAAAATATTTTAAATATTTTATTTTAGCCATGCCCTGGAGTCATACACGGCCCTGCCCTACCACATGAGGAGCCCCTGCCCTCCCAACCCCATCTCTCGACCAGCGTATCAGGGCAGCAACCCAATCAGTGATATTTGGTCCATCCAAGCACTACGGATCGTTGCTAAGTACCTGAAGAGGTATGTTGTCCTGAGGGTACAGACAGTAGAAAGACCATATCCTGCCATCACAGGGAACGCGACATGCCTGATCCAAGTCATCCTGAGCCAGTGTGTCCACTGGATCAGTCCACGGAGGTGGAGAAGCACCAGATACCAGCAGCCTCTGAAGGGATCTCAGCACTGGCAGTGAAAACTGGATCCTTAATCTGCAAAGGAAATCTAGATCTTTCAATCCCCTTTGGCCAAGGGACAAATGGAAAACCCTAATTTATGGAGGGTGCAGATAAACAAAGGTTTGTTTATCAAAGTCTCAAAAAAGCTAGAATGAGGGGAAATATCTTTTGAGATTTGGCCCCCTAGGACAGAAATGAAAACCAACCATTCGCTCCCTCACAAAGGTACAGAAAAGCCACTACTGAGCAAACACACATGAACTAAATTTAAGAAATATAAAAAAAGAGAGAGAACACTTGCCTCGAATGTGTGAGGCACTGGGTTCTGCTCACAAACTAAATTAGATGAGAACTGAATCAAATCCAATGGTTAAACTCAGTGTTGACCTTAGGGGGAAATTTGATCCAGTTCCTATCCAATTCAAACACTTATGAGACCACAATTGTCGAAAGAATTAAGTTCATGAACCAAGACACCACTTACATGCATTTATGTATATGTATGTGTGTGTATACAGATACTTATCCTCCCATATACTTTAACTCCTATATATTATTTATAATACCTAATACAAAATGCAGGTGCTATATAAATAGTTGTATTTTCTTAAAAGAATAATGACAAGAAAAATCCATACATGTTCCATTCAGAAACAATTTTTTTCTGAATATTTTCCATCCACTGTTGGTTGAATTTGTGGATGCAGAACCAATGGATACAAATAGCAAAGAAGAATTGAAGATAAAACTGACACCTGACACATTAGAATATATGCAAAGCCCAACTGATTTTTGTATTTATTTGTAATAGAGTAAAAGGGCATCATGGGTTAGGCATGGACATGGTGCTTCCTCTGTTCTATATCTAGCAGCTCTACTGAAGAGAAGACTTTGGAATCACATTTTAGAGTAGAACATTGGAAGAGGGAGGGCCACAGAACTGTTCCTGAGGCCTGGGAGACGCAGAGGGAAGCCGGCTGTCTAACAGGGCCAGGAGGGTTAGCAAAGCCACAGTGAAAGGTGAGGCCTGAGGCAGGCAAAGGGAAGGCTGAGAGCTCCATCAGCGCTATTTCACCTTGTCATTTATTATTATTTTGGAAGAGAGGCACAAATGACTAACCATTCCACATGAATAAGAAGCTGTAGCACTTTTACGTAAACAGGAACATTTCCTTGAGGCAAAAATCACAAAACACAAAGTAGAAGTGGTTCATTTGGCAGTGATCAGGCTTCTTCCCCAGGGCAAGGTCTGCAAACAGAATAGGCAGAAAGGCTCAGCCAAGTCTCAAAGGGGCCTTTGAGAATTTGCCTTTCCAAAGTGGCACTGGGGACACAGAATAAACAAAGGCTGTTCCTACAATAACATCTCACTTCCCCAATAACAGTAAGAGGATAGATGTGCAGTTTACACAGGTACCAAGAGGCCCCTGGGGAGTCTGATCTGGGTCAGTGTCTCACGAAGAAAGATGACTGGGCAGTCAAGTAGCCCTGGTGACAGGGGTTCATGGTACAATTGTGAGAATATGTTTACTCTGAGTCCATTCACAGCTGCCATCAAGGGCACTGACAAATGAAGAAGAAGAATGAGTCTTAGGACATTGCCCTTAAGCAGCTTTCATAGCCCAAGGACCCACCCTTTGCTTCCCCTGGCACTTTTATATCGCAGGAGCAGCTGACAGTGTATTTATTATGCCTTAGGTGAAACCGTTGACGAGAAAAACTGTTTCTCTTTGGTTTTCATTTAGAAGACAAGCCATCATTTGAATAACTTGCCAAATTTTCTTTCTACCAAGTGGCATTTTCCCCTCAGATCTTTCCCTGAGGCAGCTCTTTATTCAGGAGGAAATATCAGTGTTGATGTGTTATTGTTCTATATTTATGTAACTCATAGGGCTGTCAGAAATCCTGATGATCTTGAGGCAAGATCTAATATGCACTTGGCAAGTGCTTTTGCTGGCATTGGCTTTGGAAATGCTGGTGTTCATCTGTGGTGAGTGAATATGAGATTTTATTTCTTTATTCAAGCTATTGTTTTAAATGTTTTTTAAAAATTATAATTCAAAATGAGTGATAAAAATTTAAATATGTTACAGAAAGAAGAAATTTAAGATAAATATTTTCTTAATTTGAAAGCAACATATTGAGTCATGGATTTTTTAAACATGTTTTGTTTTGTTTTGAAGGGTTTTTTTTCTGTTTTTCATTTGTTTGTTTTTATCTTTTGAGACAGGGTCTCACTATGCAGTTCAGGCTGGCCTTGAGCTCACTTTGCAGGCTGGCCTTTAACTCACAGCAATTCTGCTGCCTCAGCCACCCGAGTTTTGGGATTATAGGCATGGGCCACTATTCCCAGCTGAATATTTTTAATAGCCTTTTAAGCAATAATTCATAAACTATACAAGTCACCCATTTAAAGCGTCTAACTAAATGAGTTTATGTACACAGAGTTCTGCAATTATCTATTTTAGAACATTTTTTACTCCCAAAAGAAATCCTGTATTCCTTATCTATCACCAGCCACCTCTCCCATCTCTCTCAGTACTCAGTGACTATTAATCTGCTCTCTATCTCTGTAGATTTCACCACTATGAGCATTTCATATCAGTGAAATCATATAATATGTGATCTTTCATGTCTGATTTGATTTACTTAGCATGAATTTCCAAGGTTCATCAATGCATCAGAACTTTGTTCCTCTTTTTTACCAAATCACATTTTGTTACGTATGTAGCAAATTTTACTTTTTCATTCATCAGTTGATGGACAATTGAGTTGTTATAATTTTGGTCAATATAGATAATATTACTCTGAACATTCCTATTCCAGTTTTTGTGTACATACATTTTCAATTCTCTTATTTTATTGATAGAAGTGGAATTGTCAATCATATGGTAATATGTGCTTAAATTTTTGAAACTACCTGACTCCCACAGTATCTGTGCCACCTTACATTCATCGCAGAAGCGGAAGCGTCTGCTTTCTCTATACCCTCCCACCTGGGTATAGAGTCTAAAAGCCTCAAATGTAGGGGTTTCCTCCGCTAATCTCTCATAAAAAGAGAAAGAATCAGAATCTTTGTCAATAGGCCTGTATTAATCTGTTTGATGAGAATTTATTGGAATTTGCATTAAAATTAAAAACCGGTGAGCTTTGAAAGTTAAGAATAGGTCTTTCCTGAAGCGACTGCAATGAAATGGCAATTCTCAGACTCTGCTACTAACAGCATACATTGGTACACTTTCCTGAAAAGCAAGTGAATAAAATGTACTCAGAATCTGACAAATACTTATATCCTTTGGTCCATTAATTCTCTTGTAAGAATCTAGCCTAAAGAAATATCTATGAACCAGTCATGGGGTATGCCTGTAATTCCAGCACACACGGGGAGACTGAGGCAAAACAATCACAAGTTCAAGCCCAGCCTAAGCAAGTTGGCAACTAGCAAGACTTTGTCTCAAAATTAAAAAAAAAAAAAAAAAAGATTGGAGATGTATTTCAGTGAGAAAGGCACTGCAAAAAAAGAGAAGAAAACACAGAAAATAAAAGATTCATGTTATGTTCAATGTATTTCCTTATATGGATATTCAGTATTATTTATAATTGAAAATTTTAGATGCAACCTAAATTTCCAACAGTTAAAGGTTAACTAAATTATAATATTTAAAGAATAGAGTCATTAAAATGTTTACAAAGAATATTAAGTAAAAGCAATGTATAAGATTATATATGCAATATAATGATAAATTAAATATATGTTTTAAATGACTAGAAGGAAATAGGATTATGTATAATCTTTATTTTCTACAAAGAACACAAACAATTGCTAAAACAAAAACAATAATTCTAACATTTTGAGTATTGTTAAAAAGAAACCTTAGTTATCTAAACACAACCAAGGTAAAGCAGAATCCATCAACTCATAGAACCAATAGCTTTCTGTTTGTTTTTTCAAGATTGTGCTGGAGCTTTTTTTTTTTTTTTGACAAATATTCATATGGTTCACCAAAATACTGCTTTCCATGAAATATAACATTTATTGAATAAGCCCGGAATCACCCAATAACCCACATTACAAGAACCATTGACCATTTTACTTGTGCAAAACACTTTATTTTCACATTACTTGTAAATATATTAACTTCCAACAATATTTATCTTCTGAATTCTCTGTTAAGTTGTATTTTCCTATTTGCTCACTAAGAATTCAGGAGGATATAAAGATTTTTTTCAATAAAAACAAAAATCACTTGGCCTGGTGGTAAAAGCCTGCAATCCCAGCATTCAGGAGCCTGGGATAGGAAGATCACCAATAGTATAAGATCAGCCTGAACAACATAGCAAGACCTTGTCTTATTTTTTTTTATTAATTAGTGAATTAAAAAAATAAAAACAAGGGGCTGGGGATTTAGCTCGGTGGCATAAGCGCCTGCCTGGCAAGCACGAGGTCGTGAGTTCGATGCTCAGTACCAAAAAATAAAAAACCATGATGTCTTTTCTTGAGGACAACTAAATCTAAATAAATCCTTTAGGTAGAATTCAGGTAAGAGAAATCAGTTAAACTAAAGCAAATTAATGTAGCTTTGAGGCTAGAATAATTTATTATGATTCTAATACTATTAATATATAAAATTTTTAAAATTGTGTCAATTACTGGTGATAATTACAAGTCACTTACAAATCCAGCTTACAGGACACCAAATGGCATATAGTTTTGTGATCACTGAATTTGAACATTTCAGAGGTCTTAATAGTGAATATACTCAATTTGAAGTACAGCATTATATGTATATCCTTATAGTCAAGAGAACAGAACATCTAACTCCTTGAGATAATGGTACTGTCCAGAGACTGTGAAAGGGCTCTCCTATAAATAATATCTTTGTGTTATTGATTTCATTTCTGATGTCTGTATGTCAACAAAAATATATTTTTTTCTCTTCTAGTCATGGGATGTCTTACCCAATTTCAGGTTTAGTGAAAACGTACAAAGCAAAGGACTACAGTGTGGATCACCCACTAGTGGTAAAAAAATAATAATATATTAATTAAATTTTATATACTTCATGATTTCCGTGAGTACATTTGTTAATTTTTCCCCCAGTGCTGGTAATCAAACCCAGAGCTTTACACATAGTAGGCAAATGCTCTACCACTGAGTTACAGCCCCAACCCACAGTGTTAATTTTTGTACTGGGCATGATGGCTCTTTCCTGTAATCCCAGCACTCAAAGACTGAAGCAGATGGATCCCTGTGAGTTCTAGGCCAGCCTGGGAAACAGTAAATTCAAGGCCAGCCTGATCTGTGCAGCAAGACCCTGCCTCAAGATTAAAAATAATTTTTTTGGCTACTTGTCTATAAGCTCAAGTAATATCAGAGTATGCAGGAGGAAAAATAGCTTTGCTATCTATTTCTCCCCAGCCCCATGGCCTTTCCGTTGTGCTCACGTCCCCCGCAGTGTTCACATTCACCGGAAAGATGTTTCCAGAACGGCACCTGGAGACGGCAGAAATACTGGGTATGAACCATTACTCGGAAATCTGTGACTGGCACAGGTGGAGTGTTTGCTATGATTGTTTCTGAAAATAACCATAAGGAATAATGCCAAAAAGGATTTCTCTGGACAGCCTGATGATACCATGTCAGTGACTTGCCCAAAGCCCTACCTAACTCTAAAATTTTAGAATAATTTTATGTTTTTAAGAGTCAGTTAATGAAACAGGACCAAATACTGATTCTATTAAATTTTTGGCAATACTACTTCCTCTGCTTGTATCTCCAAAGAAATTATAACTCTGTGTATACTATTAATGTATTCAGGAAGAAAAAGTGAATTCACAGCCATAGAGAATCTAAACAAGAATTTTTATTTAAAAAAAGATTCCAAGTGAGCAGTTTGCTATACTGTAAAATACATAATGCCTTCAGTAAGATACAGTGCCTTTTGAATCTTACCAGAAATAAAATTACCTTTCAGGTAGCTGTATTGGGAAGTAAATGTTAGCGTTTTTCTGAAATGAGAACTTTTTTGAGTAGACTTGGATATGTAAATAATTTGCAAAACATCTTATTCCCTAGCTGTGTTCAGGGTAGGAAGGGAAAGCCTCAAAAGAAAACCACTATGCTTTTCTAGCTCCAGTGGTTGGAGAAACCATTTCCAAGAAGGTGGGGACGACCACAGACTTCTGTGAGTGCCAGTTCCCCTTGGCTTTGGCCCCCATTCGCCATTTGTGCACCAGCACTCCTGGCCCACTGCTGTGCCTGCAATGCTCATGTCAGGAGCCCAAGTGTCCAGAGAGCCCCTGGCTTGAATTCCCAATGTTTGCTGCCACTTGCTGATGCAAGAATCACATCTCCCTTTTCCCTTTTGGAGGGGAGATATCTTTCAGCCTTATTTGGGGATGCAGTTGCCTTTGTAAATATACAAACTATATAAATGGAGGTAGGGTGGGCAGATCGCAGGCTAACTGGGAAGAATTTTATGTAACCTGTGTAAAGTTTACATTCCAGGCAGCCATCAACATTACTAAGAAAAATCTTCTGTTAGACAAAATGCAAGCTACAGAACCAAACAGTTCTTTTCTTGCCCAGGAAGTTTTAATGTAATCTCATTATTTCCTCAATAAGTACAGTATTTTATTTTATTTTTTCCTCTTCATTTGCTTAATAACCATTTTTTAAATTATTAGAAGTCAAAATACAAAGTTATTTCCTTTTTTGGGGAGAGAATAAAACTAAATGAGAGAAAACAAAATGGGGTCAGTCAAAACAAAAGGATGGACATAGTACATGACTTAAAACCAAAATACAAGGTGATCAACAATGCTTACCATAGTGTCTCTTGTTATCTTCAATACAATTGCCCATATCATCGGGCATAATAAAGTTGAACAAAACAGTACAGAAAAAAGGACATTATAAGACTTCAAAAGAGGGTAATAGTCAAATCAGCATGGGTATCATAGTGAATCTTATTGTCTTCAGATTAGTTGCCTATACTCTCAGACTTGATACTATCAAACATAACAGATTTGAATAAAATCAGTCAATAAAAGACAGTGAAAGCAATTCAGGGCTTCAAATTAAGTTAATAGGAAATAAAAAATGGTCACCATAGTACATCCTGTTAGCTATCTATGCCCTCAAATCTAGTACAAGTAGACAAACTGGAACAGAATATAACCAAACTAAACAGAGCAATGAAAACTATATGGGTTTCAAATCATGATACAAGATTATATGTCCACTGCCTTCCCTTTTTGGACAATTCCTCCCCTTTCACTTTCACAGGGTACATTGTACATTTTGGATCCCACTAATTCCTTTAGTTTTTAGATTAGAGAGGCAACTCGCTATTTACCTAGGTGGTTCTGAACCTTTTTACCCCTGAGCATGATCTCAAGTTGTATTCCTTTACCTAAAGAGCCTCAAGGTTTTCCTTCCTTATAGCTGAGTAGTTCTCCATTGTATAAAAGTGTTATATCTTTCCAACCAATCTACAGCTGAAGGACGAGCTACCCTCACTTTTTTATCATTCCCTGTCACATAGAGCATTATTTTCTTATCTTTGACTTTCAGTCCATAAATCCTCTTTCAGGTTAATTACATTTCTTATATAGACCATCTTGATGGACCCTATCTCCTGATCCACTCTGCCTGTGTTTCTTTTTATTAGTGTATCAAGGCCATCTATATTAGTGATTATGGCCAACCTTCTCTGCCTCATCTCTGCCATGCTATTTTTCTGTAATTATTTGTCTACTTTTCCCCTTCATTCCAATGTCTGCCCCATTTAGTGAGCCCCCTCTGCCACTGTTCGTGAAATCATGGTCTCTTCTGTCTCTCTCTCTCTCTCTCTCTCTCTCTCTCTCTCTCATCCCTCCATATTTTTTGTAGGGTTGACTTGGTGGTCATGAACTCCCCCAGTTCCTCTTTGTCATGGAAGCATCTTATTTTTCCATTAATTTTGAGAGATACTTTTGCAGGGTACATCAATCTGGGTTGGAGGTTATTTTCTTTCAGGGCTTGGAATACTTCCCTCTAAGCTCTTCTAGATTTGATGGTTTTTGTCAAGAAGTCTGTTGTGATTCTGATAGGTTTTCCTTTATAGGTGATCTGTTTCTTTTCTCTGACAGCTTTTATATTCTGTCCTTGTGTTGAATTTCTGGGCTCTTGAATATTATATGTCTAAGTGTAATCTGCTATGGTTATAGCTGGCTGGAGTTCTGTACACCTCATATAGCTGAATATCAGGGGCTGGGGATTTAGTTCAGCAGCATAAGTGCCTTCCTGGCAAGGGCAAGGTTGTGAGTTTGACCCCTCGTACTAGAAAAAAGATTAAATTGAATATCATTTCCTTTTCCTATGCTTCGGAAGTTTTCTTTAATTATTTCTGCAAATAGCCTTTGTATTTCATTTGTATTTACTCCTGCTTCTTCACTCACATTTTTTTCTTAAGTTATAGATCCTCTTGTCATCTTCTAGCCTTTGTATCGTTATGTCCTGGTTCCTTGTTATTATTAAGAGATCTTTCCTTTTGCAATTGCAAGCTGCAAACCTGTCTTCAAGGCCTGGTAGTTTATCTTGAGTCTCTTTCAAGCAGTTTTGCCAGCTTTAAATGGAGTTTTTAATTTCCTGGTAATCTCTTTCAATCTGTTTATGTATTCTAAATGTTTTTTATATTCTTCATTGAAGGTTTCCCTTTTCTCTCCTCTATTCTTCCGTCTGTATCTTCTGAAGAGGTGCTTAGCATTTCTTTTATTATTTGTCTTATCTTGATTTACTTGTATTAATATTTCTGTTTTAAGTTCTTTTATAATTTCATGAATATATTTCTTTATGTCAGATGCCATTTCTTTATAAACTACAGATGTGCAACCCCTGATCTCTTCTGTGTTTACGTCTCCTGGACCAGTACTGCTTGGGTTAGAGGCTGGAGACTGCCTTTTGTTTCTTCCTCTTGTCATGTTCTTGGTTTCTTCCAGACAAGTGGGTAGTGGGATGCCTGGCACTTCCTTCATTGGTTATAATTACTCTGAAGTGTAATGGCTAGAGATTGCTACCCTTTCCAATCTGTTGGTGACTACTGGATAAGTAAAGTATTTTAATTCTATGTGTAAGGTTAGATATTCTTAGCTTTAGGCCAATAAATTCTCTTTCTTATCATCTTTTCCTTTTCTAAAAATACGTCATAGAAAAACCTAAAGGTTTTGATGGTGTGTTTCGTGACAGCCACCCCAGGAACATGAAAACATTATAAGCCCTATATCTTGTGTTGCCTTTCCATCTAATACAGTTTCTGCTGCCCCTGGGCAACGCAGCCTTGTCAGGCATGGTTTACTTTTCATCCAGCTGCTCTACCACTGGCCCTGTATCTGGTTCTTTTTATTGTGTTTTACTGTATTTCCTAAATTACTGAAAACAGTTGATCACTGTCATAGAAAAGAAAGCTTAAAACCATTTTAAACAAGTGCCTCACTGTGGAGAGGACCTGTGTGTTCTAGACTTCTTCAGTGTCACTTTGGATAGATCTTGTTCTATGCATTCCATTTGCATCTTGACATGAAGGTGTCTGCTCATATAAATGGGGGTGGGGTGGGTGCTAGGAGGTGAGAAAGTAGTTCTTTTCTTCTGGGGAGTTTCTGCCTGTGGACAGAACTGAGCAGCTCTTCCAGATTGACATCTCCAGGATTATACGTATTAAAATTCTGCCTTAAAAATCTCTAAACATAGACAACCTTCATATCTCTTCACTTTTATCATTATTGGTGATACATGGAACACCGTTTGCTGAAAGTGTTTGTGCTCTTGGCACTGTAATATTTATTAAGAGGAAACTTCGCTGCCTCTTAGCAATAGAGTTCAAAGTAAAGTTTTATAGGTAGAATGAGGAAATATTTCCTTCTCTGGCCACACATAGCTTATTTGTTGTCTTGCGTACTTTCTTTCTTTTTGGTAGTTAAAGTGGGAGTTCTTTAACTTTGTCTCAAGGTATTTGCAAAGGGCTTATCTTTTTCTAAAATATTACTGTGAGAAAAGATGTTGAACATGCACACCTCTAGATGTCAGCAAATTCCAAGGCTTGAAAATAACACTGCTGGGTTTCTCTTACATCTTCTTCCTCATCCCGTGTCAGCCTTCTTTCCTGGTCCTCTTTCTGCACCTCTTTTTTTAGCCCTTCTTGTCCTCCTTCCTCTTCCCCTTCCTGTTCTTCTTCTTCCCTTTCCCCTTTGTCTTCTTTCCCCTCTTCTTCTTCCTCTTCCTCTTCCCCTTCCTCCTCCTCCTCCTCTTCTTCTTTCCTCTCTCTTCCTCCTCCTCCTCCTTCTCCTCCTCCTCCTTCTCCTCCTCCTTCTCCTTCTCCTTTCTCCTTTTTACCACCACACAAGGGCTGAGCACATAGGGAGCAGAAGTCCCTTGGAGCTTCTCTTATGGAAGCTCTTGGTTCCTCAGTCTCACCTTGCTAAGGTATCTTAGGTATCTTGGTTCCTCAGTATCACCTTGCTAAGGTATGAGGTTGACTATGAACATTTAGGGCACTTTCCAGGGAAAGCACAGTGGTGTCCTCAAAATTGGTATTTGCAGATAATAGTGAGTACACATTATATACCCTGCTGATCTTGAACAACACCCAGAGCCAGCATCTTCTATATCTGTATCTATATCTATATCTATATCTATATCTATATCTATATCTATATCTATATCTATACACACACATCATTTGTACTTCATGTCTTCTAGGAGCTGACACCCGCACCACCAAGATCCAAGACGCTGGGCTTGTGTTGGCAGACACACTCCGGAAATTCCTATTTGATCTAAATGTTGACAATGGCCTGGCCGCCCTTGGCTACTCCAAGGCAGACATCCCTGCATTAGTGAAAGGAACACTACCCCAGGTAAGAGGTGGAGAGCAGTCCTCACTCCTGCTAAGAAGCACAGAACTTCCCTTTGGGGTGCATCAGATGCAAAGACACCCCAGGGGCCCTCTAGTCTCCTCCATATCATGCAGCAATTTCCTTTTTGGGAGAGAAGGGCCCTTTATTTTGTGATTTTCCATAAAAGTGGACTTGAGGCAAACCTTTTATGGCAGAACTGAAAGGATGCTTTATGAAAATTAAAGGCAAAAAGAACCAAATTTATCTTGAACTATGTCAAATTTCCCTTTTTCCCATTTCTGCTTTTTTAAAGGTCCCCTATAAAACCTTGCAAAGCTATTCCTCAAAGACCACTAATATTATTTTCCATTATAAAGAATTATAAGTTCCTACTATTTTGTAAAGAACAAGCATAATCTTTAAGTTCAAACTATTGAAATTGCTTCTGAATGAATTTGGAACATTGGATATTTTAGATATGTTTCCCTCTCGGTCTTAGTTAATTTATTTAATGCTCTAAAGAATGTAAGTTAAATGTGCTACTATGCGGGGGATTCTGAAAATGGCGGCGGGCTAGGGGATCGAGCGAAGAGTCTCTCCAGAGAATTCAAACTCGAAGCTAAAAAAAGACAGCATGGAGAGGGCCAGACAAATCGATAGCGATTCTTATTAACCAAGACAGTACAGCTGGAGGATTTAAAGTCGCGCTGAGACCTTTGCCGACAACGGGAGGCTGCAAATCTCGCGCCCTTAAATCAACAAACAGACTCGTGGACCCAGCACGAAAAGCTGAGTTGCTTTTGGGGACTGCGGGAAACGGACCGAGACTCCAAGTAGCAGCCAAGTCTGCACCGCTGCACCAGAGCGGACGTACAAAGCGCGGGCGTTTCAAATTTAAACGGTGCACAGATATCTGACCGGTCAGCACTGTATTGGGAGCGCACGCTGAGCACCGCCCCGCCCTATCCTGGGAGTGCGGGAAAAGTGGGCAGCTTGGTGTGCGGCGGTCCCGGAACGAGGACTTGCACCGGACTCTGGTGAGTACAGAGAACCCCGCGGCTGCTGGGTTTGGCCAGAGAACAGCTGGCCCACCACCACGGGGAAATCAATAACACAGAGTCTGGTGCAGACATATTAGCCTGGCGGCAGAAACCGCAGCTTGGTGACATCACCAGGTCCCCTTGTAGGGAGGGCTGGTGGAAGACATCTTGAGTCCTGGCAGAGCCTGATTACTTGCTGGCTTCAGCTCTACACAGAGAACTTAGTGGGAGCCATCTTAGTTTTGGGCAGAGCTGCTTTTCTGGTGCTCCTGTCACAGAGAGGTTTGGAAGAGAACAGCTGGGACTTGGACAGAATCCTGTGCCATTACTCAGCTGCTTCTGATTCAAAGAGAACTGGCAGGAGCTACTGGGGCTAAACCAAGCCTCTGCTTGTGGCCCAATAAGCGGATACAAAATAGTCATAACTCAGTGACAACCAGAAAGTACAGCCTAATTTAGGAACTAACTGGCACAGAGGCTAGAGACTAGACTGTACCGCCCCTGCATCCCAGCCTACCCCAGATAACAGCAAATTGGGGAGGACAGCAAAAACTCAAGCCAGCACGCTTCTGAGAGGTCCTAAGCAATTCGGAGAGGGCCAGAGAACTCCAGGACAGTCTGAAAGAAACCAGAAACATGACAAAAGATAAAAATAAAAAAAAATCTCCAGCTGTTCAACAGGAGAAAATAAACCCAAGAGAACTAAACACTGAAGAGAACAAACACAGTAACCATCCTCTACTCGACACAGCATCAGCCGAAATTAAAAAGTACTTACATGATCTCATAGAGGAATTTAAAGATGTACTTCTGATCCAAGTGAGGCAAGATATAAAGAGATTAATTAAAGAAATGAAAAGCCCCGCCCAAGAGAACACAGATGGAAGAACTGAGGAATTCAGAAAAGAAAGAGAAGCATCTGAAGAAGAATTTAAGCATAACTTAGAATACATGAAACAGATCCAAAGAGAATATCAGGAAACTAAAAACTCCATTGAATATTGGCAAAATGCCTTGACAGAAACTAAAGACAACCTTCAGAAACTTGAAGAGAGATTTAGGGCTTATGAACGTGAAAGAAAAAGCCTCTTAAAAATAACAAGGAACCAGAAAGAAGCAATTCTAAAACTGGAAGATGATAAAAAGATACATAACCTAAGAATAAAGAATGTGAGTGAGGAAGCAGGAACATCCAAAAATGAAATACAAAAAATATTCACAGACATATTAAAGCAAAATTTCCCACGTATAGCAAAAAGAAATGATATCCAGATAAAAGAAGTATACGGAACGCCAGCTACCTACAACCAAAACAGATCTACGCCTAGGCATATAATAATCGAGATCCCAGAAATCCACCAAAAAAACAGAATATTAAAAGCAGCCAGAGAAAAGATGCAGGTTACCTATAACGGGAAATCTATCAAAATAACAGCAGACTTATCAACACAAACTCTTAAGTCAAGAAGGGAGTGGGGAGAAATATTCCAAGTCCTGAAGGAAAAAAATATGCAACTGAAGTTCATATATCCATCAAAACTCTCTCTAAAAATTAATGAAGAAATAAGATACTTTCAAGACAAGGAGGAACTGTGGGAGTTCGTGGCCACCAATCCAACCCTACAGAGAGCGCTGAAGGACATTACAGAGAAAGAGAGGAAGAGAAATCAGGATTACAGCTACAGTGCCAGAGAGGCCTCAGTGAACGGGGCAGACAATGGAATGAGGGAATAAGGTGGACAAAATATAGCAGAAAAGTGGAGTAGCAGACATGAGGCAGAGACGGTAAGCTAGTCTTTGGTAGAGACAGCTCTGAAACTATATGTAAAAAAAAAAAAAAAAGCAGAGGTCATTGCTAATGGTGTATAACGATTTAAAAGACACAGTAGTCCTAGTGCCATATTTAGATTGAATTAAATTTGTTCTGGTCTGTCCACTCATGTCAGAATTGAGGACACAGACCTCTAGAACCAAAAATAGCAGGTTATACCATGGTAACTATCCTTACTTTCCTATTGACTTAGGCTGAAATCCTGTATTACATACATTGTCTTACTATGACTGATCTTAATTGTATCTGAATCATAAGACTATTGGTTGGCCTTGACTGATCCTATTTGAAATCGGTATGCGTGTTAGAATCAACCCTAAAAGTAGAGGAAACTACTCTGAGCATGACAAGATGTAAAGGATATCCATACTGGTATGAATCAGTAACAGCTCTCAAATACTACAATGCAGTCAAAGATAAGTTTTTATAAAAATAGGTGTAAGTATGTTTAACTATAATAAGCCAGTGTTGTGGACAAATCTATTGAAAATAACAAGAGAAAACATAGTAGCTACGGAAGATCATTTATATTATAGTTTTATAAGTCTTATCCATTGCATGTTTTTCTAGGAAATTGTTTCGCTGTCTTGTTATGACTTGGTTTTCCCTATAATACAGAGAGGATAGGAACAAATACTCTGAGGAAGAGACCGGAAAAACCCGAGGCTTATTTTGTAGCATTATAATATAAATTCTAGCAATCTATTGCTTGCTGATTAGAATGACATTGGACTGGTTTCTTCAGCTCAACTTCAGCATATGCAGAGATGGGGACGGCTATCTCAAAGAGAATGAGAGATGCGATGGTAGTTGCTATTGTCTTCCCTAATTTGGAACTTGAGGACCTAAAAAGACTCCATCATCCTGTAATGATTTGATTAGTTCTATAATATGCAATAAGTATATAAAGTGGGTGAAGTTAGGGACAACTATTTGTAAGAAGCTAGAGACAGTTAGATAAGGTAGATCTCCAGTGGACTTGCTTTGAAATCTGTATTTCTTTAAATTGTTTTTTATTTTTTATTTTTTTTTAAATGTTCTGTTCTGTTTTGATATGGTTAACCTTACCCTCTTAGAGATGTAAAACAAATAGGTGGGACTGATAATCATATTACGGAGCTTTTGTTCGACCATAGAGCAGAATGGTTTGTAGGGTCACTTTTTTGAATGTCATTCTAAATACTTTAATTCTATAACCTGAACAGCCATTTCGAAGATGACAATTTGTAACTTATCAACTGGCAATTTCTTACCTTTTGTTTGTCTGTAATTTAGTATTATTTCTACCCTTTTTTTTTATCTCCATGTATTTTTTTTTCTTTTTTCGTTTCCTTTTCTTTAAATAAAAAACCATGTAAAAAAAAATGTGCTACTATGCTTAATTAATTTGGGAGAATAACAACAGATAGGAAGTTCCCTCTCCCATGAAGAAAGGCTCTTTGGATCTCTTGAGTTAGTGAACCAGATCCTAAAGGGCCAGGAGCAGTTCATTGCAATTCATCATAAAGTAGAGAGCTCTCAGTGCCATGAGCATTGGTTGGTGAACCACAACCATAGTCACCATAATCAGGACGCTCCATTGGTCCTCCAGGTCAATATAGGAAAGATGAGGACCACTTCAAATTATAGGGTCCTCTACCCAAAGGTCAGGCATCTCTGAGTCTCTCCTTGACATAGCTAGCAGCTCTCATACCTATTTACACAGCACCCTGCTCACCAAAAATAGCAGTGCCTTTTCCTCACCCACTCCATGTAACCAAGGGCCTCTAGCTACTGCATCTTCCTCATTTCATCAGTGTTCAGGATGCTGACAGCCTCACCCGCTCATAAGATAATATTTGTGTAGATTGGGTTCACAGGCTCATGTATTCACAGGATTCAAGTGGGCAACAGCAGTGAACAAAGTAATATAAGATGATAGGCAGAAAGAGAGGGAAAGAAGAAATTATCAGTCCAATTATTTAAATACAGAATGACCAAAATTTGCATATTGATCATTTTATAAGATAATATAACAGAAAACATAAAAATGACAATTTTATCAAATTTATTCAATATAAGAGTCAACTGGTTGAAATGAGATGTGTCAGAGTGGTGCTTGGGACACAAACAAATGTGCTGCCTGTGTGACACTTGGGGTAAACTATGAACTGGTGAAGATGTGTTATGTACCTGTACCAACACCCCATATTGAATGCAATCATTATATAATATAAGCACATACTAGTAAAAAGTTTTAAAATTTAAAAATATATAAGACAACAGGGAGTGGCAGGGAGTTTGGTGAACTAGAAAGTATGAGGCCCATCTAAT